TTCCGATGAAAAATTCATAATTGAAAACTGTATTGACCTTCAAATGAGCTTGAAGGTGCTGGTTAAGGTCAAATTCAAGGTCACCATGAGATGAACCTTTTCAAAAGGTTTTAGAAAACTGGCTTGACCTTCAATTGACCTTAACGAATGAATCTGCTCAAACCTTACAACTTTCGCTGAACACATTTTTTTCTCTAGAAAACGACCTATAACCTTCCTCGGGCTTTAATTAACTACTAAGTGTAGATACTTTTTACGTCTTTGTGTATTGTACGCCTACTTGACTGAATATTTTGTTATATCCTAAAGGTTCAGCACTGATAGCAGACATTCCAATATATACTTATCAAAACCTAGGACAAAAATGGGCTATATTCTTTGGTTGACACATTGATACGCATCTTGCGGAATCTCAGCAGCAGTATAATACATACGTCATAGCTAGGTATATGATTTAGTGGCGCAAAGTTCCTAATTCGATTTTAATAATAGAGAACATACAAGTCTGGCGCACTCCTAGTTCTCCGGAGTATGCCAGTAAGGAGAGTCATATATCTAGACTACGAGACTGTAATTGGTGGGTACCGAATGCGCCCCGGGCAAGATGGCGCCAAAATAAAAAAAACAAAGGAAGGCGCGTACGCGACGTTGCCTGTTAGGGAATTCTGTTGAAATTCTTGCCAAGAATTTTTTCGTGTTCGTTATGTGAGACAAACTAAGAAAGCACCATAGTTAAAACAGACATCCAATGAAGTTCAAAAGTGCAAAAGAACAATATATAGGATTTCCAAGATAGGAACCAATATTGTAACTTTAATCGTTTCCATGATCAATTACAGCCTATTTCACGCGTATTCATTACGTTTTGACTTCTACTGAGGTGAACAGCTGATCAGCAAGTGACATTTTTGTATTAGTCTGTAATGTTGGCAATAATATATAGGGTTTTAATCTGGTAAGACTCAGGACTGTATTCAGAGCTGTGTATACCAAACTAATTTTTGTTTACATATCTAGATACTTTCAGAGACTTTTGACAATAAAATATAGGAAGTACGCATATAAAACTGTTCGCTATAAAATTATAGTACATAGTTGTCCTTCCCAGTACACATGTTTCTGGTTGATTAATTGTCATCGGTGTAAAACTGTTTATCTTTTTTATTCCTACCTGACTTGAAATGCAATCATGATCATATCATTGGCAGCCATTTTGCTTGTAGCGTTTTTGTATGCGAATGAGCTTTTCTAAATAAAACAGTTGTTAGCGAATACAAAATGGATCCGTAGCGTATAAGAAACCACAACAAAATACGACTGTGTCTACCTGGCATGGAAGGATCTGTCAGTGTGTCACTTATCGAGATTAAGAGTTTTGAAATATTACTAGAGAATCAGCTGTTATTCTAAAGTATGGGTACTCGTGTAAAAAAAACAATAGCGCTATCTTGTCATGCACACCCTGTATATTTATTCTTATCTACTTCTGAATTGAATTGCCTTACGATTCTATTTCCAGTGCTTCAGAAACGTTTTTATTCCTTTACAACAAAATAATGAAAAGTCTAAATGAGCAATTTATTTTAGTTTAAGTAAAAAGTTTGTAACTGTAATTTTATCTTTGATTGGATTGAAGTAATTAGATCATACATATGCTGTTGTTTGTTGTCTTGTATTTGCTTACCTGAAAAGTAGACTTATTGCTAATGTTGGCACTGATTGCTTATATTAAAGATTGTCAACTTACAAGGCAGTTAAATAATAGGGGTTAAAATGCGTTTATGATTAAAGATGTGGTTATTTGACCCTATTTCATATTATATCAACAAATACCTGATAATAAAGTGTAGTGCTGCAAGCATTAAGTTGGTTACGTTGCATACGTGAAAAATAAAGCTTCCGCCTTTAGTTTTGTACTTCGACAAAATTCAAGTAATGAGGACTCTTTAAACTTTATCAGTCTCTAGCTTTCAATGGACTTTGCCATCTTCATCAGGAGCTGCAATAACATTGAGAAGAAATAGCAAATATTATGCAAAATGATTTTTAATGTACTTATATTAGTATGTGAGACTGTTACTAAATGTTATTAACAGTTGGATTGAGGGAAACATTTAATAGCCTGGTGAAAGCTGGATACATGGTACATTCGTTAAAATTAATATAAAATACACACAGCTGTATGTCAGGAAAACACCAAAACGTATTAAACCATATTCTCTCATCTCTCATCAACAATATAGTTTGTTCAACTGCCTCTGGTCTGTTGACAAGTTCCTATTCAACACATCTTGATAAATCACACCATCCGAAGTGATTTGGCAACATAGTACACATTTTACAAAAAAATTTCGTTCCATCCATCGACACTGACACCACCAACTTCTGCCATCTGTCATATATTTCATCCTACTTATGATCCTCTGGCACACCATTTTGTGCAGCATCAGGTGGTTCACGATGTAATTTTAACTTTCGTTCTAAATATTTTTTAATACGTTTTGATGTATTCCTGACATACAGGTGTATGTATTTTATATTAATTATAACGAATGTACCATGTATCCAGCTTCCACCAGGCTACTAAATGTTTCTCTCAACCTAACAGTTAATAACATTTAGCAACAATCTCACCTACTAATGTAAGTAATTTAAAATCATTTTGCACAATAGTTGCTATTTTTTCTCAATGTTATTGCAGCTCCTCATGAACATGGCAAATGTATCTTAAACGTGACGGATGACGGCATAGTCTTCAAGCTTTTGGAGCGCTTGTTCAAACCATTTAAAAAATGACATGAAATCCCGTCCATTTCTTCATGGTAGTCGGTCGTTTTCTTTGATTCAAGTACCCGTAGGGCAGTGGGCACACTCCCAATGTGGCAGATACCAAATGATTTTCCTTTTAATGGAAATGATTATTTCATATAGTATTAAAGAAAACTAATAACAATACAAGAGTGTTGGTTCCAAATCTACCAGATATAGCTACGTTTACTGTAGCCAAGTTTTCAGCGTGAGCTCATAGATTCAGTCTACTTGATACCATTTTTACAACACAAATAACGAATTCTTTAGTCCAGTGGTCGGTCCATCTAACAAGGCTTGTCTTGCTGATTTAATCCAAGTAGTAAATCTTCCTGCCCAGGTCGCGGTATTTCTTTATTGATCTTAAATAATTTCTTCTCAATAAAATAATCTCTTGGCTGTCCGTCAAAACACTTTTTCTGCCTCGGTTTCTATACTCAAAATGAAGTTCTTTGAGTAAACTGTAGGATGTGGTCCTTTCGAAAGTAGGTAAGTCTTCATCACTATTAACCTCCTTTAATACTTTGGTGGGAAGTTCCTGTCTCTCAAAAAATTGCTGGACTTTGCGTATGATGCCATTCCGGTCAAAGTTATCAACTGTATCCAACAGCTTTGTGTAGTGCAGCCTCTTGTGTGGTGGAGACAATTTTTTTTTATTTATTTTCGTTAACAATGTTGAAAGTTGTCTTAGTACATAAGCCTGTTTTGTTCGCCACACGTCTTTCAATATCATGAATTTTCAATTCAGGACGCCCTAAAATTTCGCTCTTATAAACGTTAAGGACAATTTCTGAATATTCAAACTTCCCTTCTTGTCACGTTTTCCGGGAGGAGACATCACTGAAGAGGAAGCGTGGCTGAAAGAACCATTGGGAGAAATATTTTCAATTTCATCTGCTATATCTGTAGACGACATGCTAACGTATAAACAATCACTACGTATGCACCGAATATGTATAGCAACTGCCAGCTATGGCAACGCTTAGGCAGCTGCCGCTTTGCCGCGCTGCATCTTTGTTGTGTCGGGGCGTAAATGGACTACGAATAGGGTATAGACTTTCTCTGTTGACCGACGGATATAAACTGTATGTGACCTATTGGTTTATTGGGGAGATAAAATGGGTATACCTTGTTGACCGCATTATAACACGTTATAGGATCATAGAGTCCATTTCCATAAAAACGTACTATTTTATAATAATTAGATTGTCAATGTTCATTTGATATAGGAGTAAAGACTACCCATCGGGAGTCTGTAAACTGTCACAGAATTGAACAATGTGTAGTCTAGGACTATCGCTTTGCTTAAAAACATTTCCAGGTTATTTCCAGTTCTGTTTTTTACATTAAAGATTATGGGAATTCCATTAATCCATTATGTGAGGTTTTGTTTATTGATAAACATCCAGTCCTGCATAAGCTTTTATGCGAGTTCAAGTTTTTCCATGCAATCTTTGAGATCCCAGATATTTAGGTAGACCTTACATTTTGTAATTAACACCTTGATGTGTCAGTTCAGTAGTGGTGTTGTGCGTAAGGGTAAGCTTGTGCTTTAGTTCCAAACATTAAACGGTAACTTTTGACTATATATTTTGACAGTGTAACTTTTTAACACTTGATTTGTTAGTAGAGCAGCTTGGTAAGAAAGATATAGTGTTTGTTCACTGTAATAGCTTAGAATTAGCAAAATTTATCCACACATAGGCATTGATGATATTAACTTGTGTTGCTAGTAATCCCATCAACTAAAACATTCCATATCTTCAGCATCCAGATGAAATTGGGATTGAACGCTGCTCACCACAGTATCTACTTCTAAAGGACTTTTGTATCTACTTTGCAGTACGTTTACTTTTAGTATCGCATAGTATTTGCACATTTGGTTCATACATGATTCTATATCTAGATTAGGCATTTCTGAGTATAAAACAGGTCAGTTTACTTAAAACATTGTTACCGTTGATATCGATTTTTAGTTCCGCTTTAAATATTATAAATAAGCGGAAAATAACTATTTTCCGTGCATGTGAATACACAATAACTGTGGGAAATAAATTCATATAAATTTATCGCCGGGCCTTATCAATTTCTCTATCATAATTTTCTATTACGTCATGTAAATTGTAAGCTGTGCCATAAAACACCATTAATAATCAAGTGTTTAGCATTTTTAACATGAAACTGGAAAACCTTCGTCGGCTTAATCGGCAAAATGCGTATCTCCGTTTCTATAAATTTTACAGGAGACACAAAAAACGTCATCAGATTGAACTGTAGTATTTTTCACAAGAATGACTGTGTTAAACGATCAGAAAGTGTCTTGTAGCAGCTAAAAACTATATGCTTGGACAATATTTTAGCATAGATCATTTACTATGATAAAAAAAAGGAGATAGGCAGTTTTCTTTTTTATATTCAGCCAAAAACCTGGAGATAGGGGTTCCTCATATGGGATATTTGAACAGTAACAAATGAAGCTACTCAGGAAAAATACAATTTTTATTCATAAAAATATAAACATAATTCAGATTGTGCTTAATAGAGCGGCTTAAGGAAGAAAACACATGTATTCATAAAAGTAAAACAAAATCGGATTGTGCTTATCTACGATTTATTCAATCATGGGGTAAATTATCATATATGTAGAAGGCATGATAATCGAATTCCATGGTTGCCTTTAGACTTTGAAGGTGTTTATACTTTTCTGCCTTAATTTTTATCCTATTTCTATAGAGTTTGGGTAAGTCGTTTGCATCATTGGTGGCGTTGTTAGTCTTTGTGTTTAGCCTGACTGGAAGAATTTGCCATTTTTGATCAGAGTGATTGAGTTTGAAAAACACTCCCTCATGAGAGTATCTCAATGCTCTAATATCGTTTACCAATGGTGCACCAGCAGATCTTCCGGGTCTGATAGAATTAAAATATTTCAGCTCATCGTATTTTTTGAAGAAATCGTGCATTAGGTACTCAACTCTATAAGGAGCCTTTTGACATGCCGTTTTGCAGATGTAGACGTAGTCTGCTGGAATATTGATTTTCTTATTTCGGGTTTTCCTTTCAATTACAGAATGGACACTGTCCACTTCCATTTGGGTATGTCCTTTCTGCAAATACTTTTGCACAATAGTAACTCCCCTCTCCAATGTGAGATTGTATAGGCCATTTGCCAATGTGGCGTTCCTATTTTGATAACCACAACCATCGCTCCATAATATAATTTGAATATCACTACGATTTTGTAATCCAAACTGATCGATATGTCTTTCTAAAAAATGTATTATTATGCTTGTGAACTCATTACTAGTTGGTCCTCCTTCCGCTTCATTCCATAAATAACAGTAGCCCTGATTGCGCTTGATGTCATAGAGGGTGAAGTTGTGGACAATCAGCTTAGTTTTATAATACAGTGCACACGTGTTTGATTTTGGGGATAGCAAAACGGATTGAAGGTCCATTGTAAAAACTTCGTTTGGAGACTCTTTATCTACGGTCTTTGCAGTTCTTGCTGCATTTTTGAATGCAATGTGTTCATTGTACTTATCTTCTGTTAAATTGCCCGTCTCAAAAGCAACACAAGTGTCACATAGATCTTTTTTTGGTTTATAGAGTGATAGTCGTTTTTTGTCGAATTCTTTATGGAATGTTGCAATCGATACAGGTTCAACGTTATGTGTAGTACAGTAGTCGCTTTTGTAAATTTTATATAAGTGAGCCTTAGAATTCCAAGTTGGCTCTAAATAGAGCTTGGATGTGGAAGCCCTGCAATAGTGCGATTCCAGCTTCGGTAGACAGTCGAAAAAGTCATGCAGCGAACGAGTAGGTGCAGTAGTACTGTCACGTATTTTATTCGGCTGTACATTATCTTCATCCTTTCTATAACCATTTTCCAAGTTACTTTTGGCCCATTTTTTTATAACCCACTCTTTTACTCCTAACGTATTAAGAAACATCGTTCTACAAACCCTTAGTCTGTCCTTGCCCAAAAAGAATCTGTTTGAAAACCCTCTTTTCTGCCCAAGTGTATTGCCAAAATTCCTTAAAAATGTTTTTTCTCTCATTTTCAGTCAATTCTCTACATTTTAAAACAGATTTTTGATTGTTACTTAGTTTACAACGACATACATCCTTTAGTGATCTCGGTTCCTTTAAAATGTCAAATTTCCACATCCCATTTTCCTTTTTTTTCCCTACGTATGATTCTCCCTTTTCTCTTTTAATTCGATTCTTGTTTTCATGCCATTTATTTTTGTTTACTTCATACTTTGTTGAACGCTTCCGACGGGGTCCTTCGTCTTCTAATATCTTATCCGATAGTTTAGTACAAGGCGTATGATCAGACTCATCTAAGTCGGAGCTCTCACAATCTTCTACAGTTAGATTTTCAATAATAGTGGATTGTACTCCTGAACAGAAAGGTATTTCATCGAAAATGGAATCACGTTGGCCAATTTCAACAATACTCAACTGAATTGGAGCCACAGCTTCATCTTAAAAAAGTTAGATGGTCAGAAATAAATATAAAGAATCTCATTTAAGGCTCTTACCACTTGCGTCTTCCATCATCATTCTGACTTCTCCATCAACTACAAAATCGCTAATTTGTGCGTCTACAAATTCACTATTGCACTCGCTAGCACTTTGCGCTTCTACTGAATCCACATTTCCAACAGCACTGTAGTCTTCGCCTGAAAAAAGACCGAACGTAAGACTAAAAAGTGGTCAGATTATCTGTTAATCAATCAATTAACAATCTTCAAAGATTTCGCAGGTTATTTGGAATTAATACAATGGACACGTTCCATTTATAATAAAGCACGAACTGCAAAGACTGTAGATAAAAAGTCACCAAACGCCGCATAAAACGCAACAATGTTTACTGTTATATTTGGAATGAATCACCTGGTACTCAATTCTTACATTATTAGCTATGAATTTACTATTGTGCAAAAGTACTTACGAAAAGGTCATACAATATTGGGAAGGTCTTATTAGTGCTTACCAGCAGCGTCTGAAAATATTATTTCAGCATCCTGAATAGCCTTCGATAGGTCGTAGTTATTATTTTTTTCATTTACTGGTTCATAGCTGGTAGTAGACTTCAACGCATCGAAGATTCTGTCAATTCGTCTCGCCATAATCTAGAAAAAAAAATGTCCCTTCTTAATGATTGAAAATAAAAATACGTATCTCCTATACAACCAAATATCTACTTTAAAAATATATTATGGGAAATATGCGTAACTCCCTGAAATACAAAGTTTAACTCATATCACCTTGTATAATTATAATTATCATTAAAAAATACTGATTCTAATAATCTGGAAGTTGTACTTACCTTTCAAAAGCCCTTTATGGAAATATAGATTCCACTATCACTTGCACCAAGCTGTAAATTCGCAGATGCACGTGTTCACCGTAAGCGTTATTACACGTTCTGGGATTTACGCATTTTGCCCACTGAAATTGGCGGGAACGGATATAGGCCGATTTCTACTTTGCGTATTACAAAGAAACGAATAATGCTTTGGATATAGGCTGTTTTCCTAAAGATGGGTTGTACTATTTACTACTAGATGGCACCAAAATGTCATTTTCTCAAAAATGTGGAGTTACCCATTTTGCCGATTAAGTCGACGCTATATAGCTGGGGCAACAACAACTAGTTATTTTCACACTGACCTGCACCTCATTTGGTGCAGTTATTGCACATTGCCAGATACGTTGCGAGAAAATAGTGTGTCCTAGTAGGTATTTTTAGTCAAGGGCCAGTACTTACCATATAAATTGAACATCAGAATTGTTCACAGTGGACCGGCGCTGACTGTTTGCTGATCCAGTAGGCTTAGATGCTTGAGAACTTGATCAAAGGTTATGATTTTTCGAAATAAACATGCTTTCGTGTGTTCGACCAAAAGACAGCCGACGTGCTGTTTGGCTACTCATCAGCATAATCTAGGTTCAGTCTCTCGTCTCTGGAACAACGACCGAAATCGTCGCAACTATTCTCTATCCAGTAGGTACGGTTTATCCAAATAAGACTGCGCAAAGCGCCATCTATCACCAAAATCTACTACTGCGGAAAGTGCATAGCAGCTATTTGTTGTAGCTGTAATGTTTAGTTGCTCGGCCGCCATTTGAGCGCTAGGTGGCTGACGATTCTGGGTGTGTAGTAGATGTGGTCTACATGCCATTGAACAAACTGAATAAGATGCTTTCGTGCATCCCACCAATAGATAGCCAACCGTAGTCAGCTATTAGGTGCTTTCTCTCTCATCAGCGAGGACTAGGTCTCTCGTCTGTGGGGCAACGATCGAAAGGAGAGCCACTGTCCTCTTAGCCTTATGTTTAGTACGTTCAATGACCAAATCTACTATATATCCAGGATCGTCAGCCATATAGGGGTCTCATGGTGACTGGGCTATTAAACGCGAATTCAGATCTTAACAGTTCCAACATATAGCTGCTATGCACTTCCCGCAGTGGTCGGGTTGCCAAGTATATATATTAACGTTCAAATCTTCCTCCGCAATACCCCAAAGACTATTTTAACCGTAAAAGATAATGCTTATTAACCGGATTCTTAAACAGAAATGGTTATTTTAGTCTTTCAAAATTATTTAAATGTACGAAAACTACTTAATTCATGTCCAGGGGCTTCTAACAAACGTGCTTATCAGAAAAAATGAAGTCGAATACTTTCTTTCACTCTAATGATCCGGATTTCGCATCTGCTAAATAATCATGACTCAAATACGGTTTATTTCAAAATACCTGAATTATGAATGAATTAGAATTTTGTGTGTATTCTGTTTAGAAGGAAGGGCAGTCAAACAAGATCACAGCACTTAGGCCCCATTGGGCTCCGTGCGCTTCCTTCCCAGCACTCAGGTGTGATGTGACCCAGGGGTGTTTCTCTTAAGCTGGTCATCGAAGGCCAGCGTTCCCTCAGAATGGATAGGACAGTCGTCTACATAAGGATGTGTATCTCAGTATCATGCTATAGAGATGTGTTCTTAGCTGTTGTTTCTACAATAATCAAGAAATATAGCTTCTGTTCGTCCGACCACAGACGACCAACCATGGATAGTTGTTTCGTGCTATGTTGCAACTCCTCAGTATCGTACAGGCTTCGTCTCAGACAGAACAATGCACGAAAGCTGAACAACTACCCATTACCTAGAGTATAATGTCTATCGAAGCGCCATCTAGTACCAAAATCGACCATAAAAAGAGTGAAAACAGCAAGCTGTCTGTAGGAGCTGTATCCCAGTTCGCATTGCCAGTTGGGTTACCATTATGTCACCTATTCAAGTGCTGTTGTCTGGTCTACTTGCCATTGAGCAAACTAGTAGTGACCCACCTGGCAACTTTGGAGTCATTTTGACTTGAATCTATATATGAGAAGTGTATCTTTTCCAGCAGTTGGAGAATTTACACGGAGACGTCTTATAGGTCAGGTTTACTTACTGGTTACTCAAATAGTTTTATCTTTTGAAGCATATCCTTCACCCCAAAGACGTCTTCGTGGATTAAATGTTGGCTAAAATATTTTTTACCATTTTCAATGGGTATCTTTTGATTGAGAGATCTGCCAAATTTGTATCAAAAACATCAATATAACTTTTATTGAAATTTATTCATTGCTCAAGTCATAAGTCAAGCCAACACGGTGATTGGAGGACAAACATGGGCAAAATATGGTGGCCCAGTAAATCAATTAATCATTGATCTCATCTTAGTATTAGCGGCTCTGTACACTTTTATGTGCTGTGGATGCAACATATTTTTCTTTAGTAACGAAAGTATTTTGTACTCACCAAACCAGTTAAGCGTCTTCCTCGCATAGTTCTATTCACGAGGAGGCTAGCTTGGTACCCAATAGAAATTTATAGGAGCAGTTCGTAGTTGTTAGTGCACATTTCACTCTCATGCAAGGATTGCAAGGTGTATAATTTCAGCGAGAAAAACCGGCCACGATACCGATGTTAGCTGGACCTTAATCTGCAATTATCCAAATCATTGGCACTGGGCGTTAGACTACAAGGTTTTCAGATGTTGCTGAAAGAAAAAGCTAAATGGACAGGACCGGTTGATGAACATTACACTTACTTTTGATTTAAATTGTAGTTTTTAATGGATAATTGAATCAGATTCTATAGCACTGTATTTATCCCGGGATCCCGTAGCTCAAATGCGGAGATGTGGCTTATTTAAGATACAAGTATCTGAAATACAGATACAAGATACAAAAGACGTATTTTCATCTTGTATCTAAAATACTTTGATAAAATCAATTTCGTATCTTGCATTAAGGCCCGTATCGTCAGTCGTCCCTACAATTGTAGGGCGCGCTTATGGCCTCCTTGATTGTCATACTCTTATCTCTACTTAAAAAATTTCTAGATTACACTCGTCCCGTATCAGCGTCAGCGCTCTCCTATTGTTAAGATATGTTTTCCTTTTAAATTGTAGGAAATAAATGATAAAACATGAGAAAACTCAAAAGCAAGCACAATTTGATGCAAATAGATGTTTGTGACATAACCTCAAAATAGAGCGCTGACACGGAGAAGTAGAAAACTATGACAAACAAGGAGGCCATAAACGCGCCCTACAATTGTAGGGATGACTGACGATACGGGCCTTAGATATCTTTCGTGTGGTATGACAGTATTTCGTAAATGCATAGTTTGTTAAAATATTTTTCGTAATATATGTTTACATGTTCTTTTTTTGATAGGAAAAAGCTTTTGTAGCCGCTCTCAGGCAGAAAGACTCGCCCTGCCGGCTTTTCCTGCCCGGAGTGTGAGATTCACCAGAAATGGCATACTCACTAGAACTAAAACATATTCGCCACACATCCCACCACGGTAATGCTAGCAGCATTTCTTCATAGTGGGTAGCGTTGCATTAGGTTTTTATACCGAGGGTATTATAGTCATCTATTCTCTATTGGACACATATATACCTTTAAATCTATGTACATGTACAACAGAGCAAAGTAGAAAGCTACTATTGGTTCCTTGGTATAGTTTGGTTCTCTCGCACCTCACTCAGCATCATTGGCCTCACTATTGGTTGTCTCTCTCCTTGCTAGTCACTATCATCGCAAGGTCGTCAGCATACCCTACGAGTACCAGGCGAATTCCCAGCAGCATCTATAACCGAAAAACTGCATCGTAGAGCATGTTCCATAGCACCGGCCCTAGGACGGAGCGCTGCCGCACTCCCATGGTTACCTTCATTTTCTTTTGCCCTACCATAAATGCCCTCGTGCCAAACTAGCTCTTCATCACGGTCAATGAATAGCTAGGGGTGTCCAGCTTCTCTAACGTCATGGGCAACTATAACGCAAAGTTTCTTCCTACTGTAGCTGCTGTTATAAGCTAAACAATATCTCAAAGAACTTATCCTAGCTGAAACACAAAAAATAAATCGATCTGAAAAACAAAAATCTCAGGCTTTATACAATATTGGAGGGGATATAAATAGAGTCAAATGACGAATCTTTTTACATGCTCTTAGAGGAGACTATGAATGATTCCTTCCATTGCAGATAGCGAAAACAGTAGTACATAGGGTCTACTAGCAGAACCTCTGACTCAGAACCACTGCAATACCTAAATAATAAAGCTTAAAGAGCTTAAATGTTTAGACAACAATAAAACAATGTCTTTAAAATACAACACCTGTCTTCCAAATTCTGCCACTGTGGAGCGACTTTTGGACAATAAAAATTTAGACCATTGGTTTCATTGTCTCAATTAGAACCTCAACAGTATAATATTTTGTCACATTCGCGATTTATTCGTAAATAGAATTCATGTAAAAAAGTATTTTATCTTCAAAAAGTATTTAAAAGATACGTCTTTTGTATCTATTTTAGGACTTCAAATACCATTCTAGAAAGTATTTTGGATCTGATATCTAAAACAATTATTTTAAAAGTATGTTATATGTTGAATTCCAGATACTTTAGGTATATCATTGCTCCAATACAATTCAAGTTTAACGTGTTGCTTACGTTTGGTTCCACCTTAGAGTGAGAATGTTTGCAATTTTTATATGAGCTACGGGGTTCATACTAGAATACAGGTTGGTGAATGACGCTACGGGAAATAGGTTTTTAAAAGGCTTTTATATAAATAACAAATTATAATATAATACAGCGAAATTTTGACAGCGTAGTAACCAGTTCCGTCCTCATATGACGACGTCCATAGAATACAATTAACTCATCTAGGTTACTAGGAACAGAGTGAAATAAAGTAAAATATATTCTCGATTGAATTCGACGAAATGAGCCGTCTCAGAGTAAAACAGTCTTCTTTCAATACTGCTTCTCTCGATTTGCACTGCTGCCGATTTCCAAAAAATTGGATAAAAATTCAAAATTTGATAAAACAGTTTGAAAATCTATATTCTTTGTTTAGTCGGGTTGCTAATTGTAAATCAATCATCAGATATACTGTACTTTCAAAATGGCGGAACCCGTTGATACAACTGTACTGAAACAAAACCGTTTTTCTCAAAACGCCAAGCAGGAATACATTTTTTCAGCATAAAGGTCATGCTTTCCAAAAATGTCATCGGTGAGCCACTATCATATAGCTAAATTAATTAGCTGTTTTCTATTCGTATCATAATTTCGTTAAAATGAGTGTAGATGCAGCACGCCGATTAGCCGATAAGCAGGGATGGCCTTGATAGTACTTTTACAATACAATTTTTTGTATTGGGTGCGTTTTTAAACAACCGAGGCAGAGACAAAAAAATAATAATAGAAACTGATTTTCTAAAAAAATCATGCATTCAAAATTGCAAATGTCCGGAGTTCGGCTCTTCAGCTAAGGTGCGTTGGTAAATTATTTGGTAATGTACACAGTAACGGAACGTGGATTAACAGAAAAGTCACTTGTTCAAAAGATCCATCTGAACCAGGAAAAAATATAAAAAGCAATAAATAAATGTCACGATGCTTGTACATATACAGGGTGGCCCATCGAAAACGAAACAGACGCATTTACTGGCAGCTCAGTTTTTTTTTGGAAAAACGCTCAGACCCGTCGATTTTGTTTTCGAGGGAGACACAAGTTTGGCAAAAAATCACGTTAGCACGTGCAACCGCCTAAGTGGGGGTGACACCGCCCCCAAAATCTTAAATGGAAAGGGGGATCGAGTGATACCTTATTTTAAAGGTCTTTCAATTCGCTTTATAATGATATAAAATTAATGTACGGCAGTTCCGTAGTTTTGAAGATTTATTGATTTAAAGCTTAAATAAAACAAATACATCATTAGTGGAGATCAATACATTTGGCAGCAAAGTAATTCAAAAATGAAGAATGAACTGACCCGTTATGCAACTAAATGTTGAAAATGGCCACCATGACTCTACATGTAATAATAAAGATTTTGCTCAAAACGTTGCCCTATATTTTGCAATATTCGAGGAGTAATTTGAAGGCACTCATTCACAATTCTTTGTCGCAGGTCTTCTAATGATGTTGGCTGAGTAGCATGGATTTTGTTTGTTAAATGACCCCACATACAGAAATCCAAGGGTGATAAATCTGGCGATCTTGGGGGCCATTCAATGGCACCTCTTCTACCAATCCATCGATCTGGAAACGTCTGATCTAAATCTTGTCGAACACGTAATGTGTAATGTGGTGGGGCACCATCCTGTTGGAACATCAACCTATTCGCAATGTCGATCATTCTAATTTTCAATTATGGCTGTTAATGCAGGATCTATGGCGTCTTCCAATAATTCCAAATACATTTCACCGGTCAAATTTCCAGGTAAGAAAAAAGGACCAACTAAATGATTGCCAAAAATACCAGCCCAAACATTTAATTTTTAAGGCTGCTGTGTATGAACCTCATGATAACTTCTGGGATTAGAATCGGACCAATATCGGCAGTTATGACGATTTACTACGCCATTTAAGAACAAGGAACATTCGTCGGAAACGCAAGTGTTGAATAGAAAATGTTCATCGTTTATAATTTGTTCACTCATGTCTTCACAAAATTGTAATCGCCGAACAAAATCGTCTTCATTAAGTCCTTTTACCAGGTGAATTTTATACGGATAAAAACTACGGGCCTTTAGAATCCGTTGGACAGTACGTCGACTAACACCACACACAGTCTCCAATTGGCTGGTACTTAACGTAGGATCTACATAACCTTGCCCTAAAACCCCCACTTCTATTGCATCGTCCCTTATGGGAATTTCAATGTTGCGTTTTTTTATTGGCGACTGAGCCAGTTTCCCGAAATTTTGCTACAAGTTCTAGAACATATTTTCGATGCACGTTACTGTTCTCATGTCGCTCATTAAATAATTCTGCTGTTCTATTAGCGCACTGATTATTTCCGAAAAATATTTCGATAATTCTGATGTGGATTATACCATGGTTAATTTATAAATTATTTTAGCAACAAAGTTTGGTCAAATCAATCGCAAACTATGTACTAAATTCCTATTTAAAGTAAGTACGAGATATTTCCTTATCTTTCTTCAAGAAATAACTTTTTTGCCACAAAAAACGCTCCAGTAGCTATTTTCAACAACAAAATGCTAAACAAACCATGGGCGTAGTGAAGAAAAGGATTTACTTACTAAGTAAATTCTTTTAGCCAAATTTCTGCTGAAAGTAGTACAAACTGATGTATCTATCAAAGTCTACTTTAAGCTTTAAATAAATAAATCTTGAAAACTACTGAACTGAAGCTCATGTATTTTACATCATTATAAAGGGAATTGAAAGACCTTTAAAATAAGGTATCACTCGACCCCCTTTCCAATTAAGATTTTAGGGTTGGTGTCACCCCCGCCCAGGGGGCTGCACGTATTAACGTGATTTTTTGCCAAACTTGTGTCCACCTCGAAAACAAAAATCGACGGGTCTGAGCGTTTTTCAAAAAAAAAAAAACTGAGCTGCCAGTAAATGCGTCTGTTTCGTTTTCGATGCGCCACCCTCTATGTATATACACCTATGTTACCGGACAAACTCGATTTTAGGATAAACTAGTTTTCGCTAGGCCAAATTAATGTATCCGAAGAGCGATACGATGAACTAGTTTATCCTAGTCTGAACTGATTTGTCCTAGTCTCTTCACAAAAGTAATCTTTTTCCTACTAATTGAAGAAAATACTAAACATGTTTGATAACATTTATTATTTTCGAGTTGCAGAGAACGTTATTTTTCTTGCAAAATGTCGATTTGACGTACACTTCTTGGTACAACTACACCTAAAGAAACCTTGGTATGTTCCAACTGAGTGTTTGATCGCTGCGGTTCTTAACGGAAGTTCTATGTTTTTGTTCACTTCTTCTTCCAATAGATAAAAACTTTTGTGCGCAGATATCAAATTTATTTCTAAAATGAAAGTATTTAATTTAACTAAAATGAAAACCGCAACAAAACAAACAATTACCTGCAATATAATTTTTGTAAGTTACCATTGGTACCAAATCTTATAAAATCCGTCATCAGATGTTTCAAGCACAACTCCAACATCGTTCCGAAGATCTCCTTTAGCCCTGTCTACATCAGGAGTAGGTATGATGTTATCTTCAACTCTAGCTGGTAGATGCGACTTGTAAGAGGTTGCTTTCATCTTTTTGGCTTGCTCTTCAAGGTTTTGCACAGCACCTGAAAGTTCTTCTAAAATATTTTGTCCCATCGTCTTCACTCCTATCTTGGTCTCCATCTTTATCTTCGTATCCATAACTGTCTCCATTTTCATGTTCATCATGTTTTCCCATCAAACAGTTTTTGAAGATCGTCCTCGTCTTCAATGTCCTTTAGCAGCTCCGAAGGCAATGAAGTATGTAGTAGAGAGGACAACCTAGTTAAATCTCAGTAAAAAGCAGTTTAGACTAGGACAACTCAGTTTTTCCTAATCATAATTTATTTATTTCAGGATAAACTATTTCATCCTATCGCTCTTGGGATAAACTGATTTGGCCTAGGAAAAACTAGTTTATCCTAAAATTGGGTTTGTCCGGTAACATATATATAATTTATACCAATCTATTATATTTTTACAGCAAATGTAGCCTATTTATCGTGAAAAAAGTATGCTCTGTAAGATTGCTAGCCGAATAAAAATGTAAACAAATAATGAAACATTGAGATTGACAAGTGAACACAATCTTTTTTCCAAGATTCCAAGAAGTATCTTCGAGCATCTGTTTGAACCAAGGTAGTATTCCTTTTTCTGCATAATAAAATAAAAAGGACCACTTTTAAAGATTATGCTTGTTGCTAGGCGCAAAAAAGCGTCAGAAATTGTTGGAAGAATTTTTATAAACAAAATCCAAGAATTGTTTTTTTCGCACCGGACAAAGTTTTTAGGGTCATTCTCAACAAAAAATTCATTTTGGACTTTGCTCTAAGGCGCCAGTAGTCCATTACGCTGAAAAATATAATTTGCTTAATTTTCATTCATATCCTGGCACCCTTGTCCTTCCTCAAATATTACCCGGGTCCGAAAACTCTTGGATAGCCAGGTATACCCAATACCCGACTCGGGTACCCGTTTCCGAAGAACTTACTGGTGTTGTTCCGTATTCTCTCAATTTTCGTTTGAAACCAATTTGTAGAAGTATTTAAAGCGAGATTATATGAAACTTGAGAAGCAATAAAAGGTTTCGGAGAAAATCTGCGGTTCGCTTTTTTACACGTTCAGGTCGGAAGTTGATAAGTCCTTGGTTTTCTTCATAATGATGCTAATTTCATACAAGGAAAATAACCACAGAAGTGCTTAAGAACTGGGCGTATAAAACTTGAACAGCATTAAAAGGTTACGGCGGTATTGAAAGATAATTTTCTAATGAGTTATTGGGATATATAGCAAAAATCTGATAAATAAATTCACAGTTTCTGTCTTATTCGGGCTCTCAGTATGATTTTTTTCCCACCAGAGATATTTTGAAGGCTAATATGTAACAAAGACTGTAACTAAACGACAGGCAACCCTAGTCTAAGAAGATTAAAAGAATTGCGTCAAATAGGTTGACTTTGCACGCAACGCTCTCATAGTTAATAAAGGATTATGTTCGGTACAAGTTTATTTCTCTGAGAAAAGAAGCTAACCACGAATATGTATAATAAAAAATTAAATTGATCAAGACAGGCTCATGTATTTAAAATTTGCATATTAATCGTGTACAATTTCGGGAACTTTTAGGATTTGGCCCCATGAAAAAATTTGCTACCCGTGATTTATACAATTTTGGAGGCACTAATGGTTATCTCTTGTCAATGGATGACCTCCCTCCCCCCCTCCTGCGAGCACAACCTGAACATTGACATGTCTAATCTCGCCCCTGGTCATCCACGGTAGTATGCCTGCGAAACATAGACGTCCATCGTTCGGGCAGTATATCCAGAGAGCGCCTGTTGAAAATATTTCTCTATAATTTCTGAGGCTCTAGGGCAAACGTACGGCGAAATATGTTAGTATATAATATACACGAGGCGTAAAAAAACAATAGACGCAGATATTTTAGAGGATAATTGCTTGTTAAAAAAATATGAAAAAAATCTCGATTAGCATGGGTCCGGAAATGCAGAATTTTCAAGATAAATAAATTTAAAAAAAATAATATCTAAAAAAATATTTACTCGATGCTATTGAAATTTGGCAATACTATTTGTTGTACTAAGAGGCCCTTAATAGATTGAAATTATTCGGGCCAGTGACGTCCCGGGGGCATCTTGGCGAATACTTGTACACCACTGCCTTTTTTGTAACTTTAATATTTGTTGTTTGAGCATCTAAAAAACATCGTTGTCTGTTGTATTTTTTTCGTATCTAACTTCGAAAAAAAAAACCGTTTATTGCATGCCACTGCGCAAAATTGGTTTATTATTTTTTGCTATGAAAATCGCATGTCCCTTGGAAAATAATAAAATTAGCCTCTGAATACAAAAAATAATATTGCCAAATTTTAACAGAATCAAGTAACTATTTTTTATGATATTGATAAAAGAAAATTTAATTTATCACCTATCCTATTTTTATATTTCTTAACAAGGAATCAGCCCCTAAAGTACCTCCGTCTAGTTTTCGAGCACCCTGTATATAATATAATACGTCTTCTAGGTGCATAGAATTACCGGGGTTGGAATCGTCCAAACAAAATTGAGACTGAGCCATTCTCTACCCCTTACAACCGCCAACCTCCAATTTTTAGCTCCTACAATTTTTTGTAAAAATGAACAACAAGGAGCCTCTGAAACGTCAAATAACAAAGCTTGAGCGATTTTTATTTTTGCTCATTTTAGCTCTTACTCCGCTCCTATCCTTGGCACAGTAATAACCTTGTATGAAATCTTTATCAAAATACGAGCAGTACTTTCCAAGTTATAGAGGCGTCAAGGATTAGCGGACAAATGTAAATGTAAATGACATACAACATAAAAATCATATTTTCGAAATTTTTCGCGATTACAACACGTCCTCGCCAGTGGCGGAAGATCTTTCGAAAAAATGTATGTCACAGACCTCTGACATTTACCATAGTAGGCTTCTTCAAAACGCTGCATCCTGCTTTTTCTTTCATGCAGAGAAATTGTCTTCTTGATTTCTACTATGTTGGCAATGTTGAATGAATTATCAGTCCTTGTGCGCTATGGCCTTCGCAAACTTTGACAATCTGCCGAAATCTGATAATCGATTTCAAATCTTTTTTGGACCTATTCCGGTTTTTTCTAGTTTTTCTGGATTTTATTCGTTCTTTCTGAGAGTATATAGAGTAAACATCTAGCATCACATTTCCAACGGTTTGAAACCCAATTGTGAACTCGACTTCAAATTTGATTCTGCTAGCGCAGATTTTTCTGTCAAAGTACGGCTGAGTTGGCAGTATCGTATTTGAGATTTAGATGAAATGTTTCTTTCCTCTTTGTTAGGCCATTGAATTTCAGTTCCAGATATACTGCTTAAGAAGTTGATTAAACGTCCTAAAGTGTAGAACAAACAACTAATCATCATATCAACTGGATCAAGAATTGCTGATATCTCATGTCCTGCAAACCACAAAACGATGGGAGTTTACTCATAAGCAGAAAGTTTCCAATTTCCTCTAGTCATCTTTTTGAAAAACGTGCAGTGATCGTAGATATAAATTCAGCCTTTTGTCGAGTCACTCTGAATTGTTCCAGGAATCTACTTCCATTGTAAAGAGTTACAAACCATTACATTTATGTAAGGCTCATTTTTTGTTTTTTTTTTATTATGAAGTAGTAACAGTATGTGCAGAATGTTTTCATCATGACTCGAATCGATATCTGAGATCCAATCGGATTCTGAACTTGAACCATAAGAATCTGTGAGCAATACAAACAGTTATACAGGTATAATAAAAGTCTAGTGTACACCAAATTTTGCAAAAACGGTTATCTGGCTGCAGTCTTTTCAATTGATACCAACTATTCAAGGTTACAACGTAACTAAGAAAGACGCAAACCAAAAACCATTACCCCAAAACAAAACACGATCTTGTGCGATCTGCGCATGTCAGAAACTCCACTGCGCATTCTCAATCGGTTTCAAACAGTTAAATGTGATGCTCGAATATTATTCATAAAATATTTAAGTAAGGCTAAATACAAAGACATGTGGTTTAATAACTACTTATCTGGTAGGTTTCACTGTGCAAAAGGTCTACGATAAAGTGTTTACTCTACGATCTGAAAATTTTGGTGTTCCACAAGGGAGTATTTTAGGCTCTACTTTATTCAGCTTCTACAATCCAGATTTGATAGATCGTATTTCATCTGGTTGGAATGTGCATTTGTACGCAGATTATGTACAAATTTACAAAGCATGCCAACTGAATAATGTAAGTTCCTTGATACCCAACGCTAACTTGTAGATTATTGAATATTATTCCAAAAACTAAACCCTCAAAGCCAGTCTTATTGGTTCTAAATTAGCAATTCACAAGTAGCAGTAACCACAAGCATAAGTTTAGGAGGTATTGCCATGAAGCTAAAAATTAGGAAATAATATTGGATAAAGATTTAAATTTATAAAACCACATTATGAGTATGCTCAGAACATGTTATTATAATACAAATCGCTTTGGACGTCTGAGGGTATCTTAAAACCCCTTACTGCATAGTGGGTCATATCTGTCACAGTTATATTTTTTTCAATTTATCCATTACACAACGCATCATGTTCAACTGCTTATGCATAATTGTCCATATATGGCACAAGTCCATCATACCTGGCAATGTAACGCCGGCTCAACGCGGCATTGTGAAGTTTTAAGAAAATTTGCAAATGGCGGTCATGAAACAGCTGATGCTAAAGGTTGTGAATTTTGATCTGCAATGTTAGAGATTTCTACGGGACATTTTGGATTATCAAAAATAGCACCATCTAGGATACAACCTATATAAAGCATTCCTGTGAGTAGATTCAAGTATTTCTTTATATTTTACTGATTTTTGACCAAACATGTATTTGTGCCATATATGGAACAGTATGCACTTTGGTGCAAAACTGTTTTGGACATATATGGCACAACATGCATTCTGAACCTTATTATATTAAGTTCTATTTATTTGAAGGTAATGGAGCCACAAAAGTTTTATGGCTCGAAAAATCTTGTATCAGATATACCAGTGGATAGTGATGATGAACAGTTATCAGACAATAATAATCCAACCATTATATTGGCCCCGGAATCTGACTATGAATGTGATGGTGTA